GAAAATAATGAGGATGCTAGATAGCTAACAGAGATCGCTCGTGAACAAAAGATCCGGATTCAATTCCCGGATTTGCCATATCCTGCATATATTAAAAATATCTTAAAGCTTCAACAAAGCTTACGAAACATAAATTTCAAAAATAAACAAGTTGTAGTAGTGTATCATCTTTCAAAGAACCGAAATCTCTAGAATGGAATTCGATAAGAAGCTTACAATTTTTTCCCACGAAAATTATAATAAAAGTCTTGGCTTAAGCCAAGGCATCGCTCGCGAGGCATTACAATGAAAGCTTAAAACAATGCAGCGATAAAACGGAATCTTGCTTACTGGATCGAACATATCCGATTGGCTAAGTTCGGTCTTGAAATCGGCGCTACCCGCGAGGATCAATCCAGCGATATTGGGCTTGTCGTTCGTGATGTATAATTGAGTAGCGACCTCGGCTACTTTCCGAACGTAATTATGCCGCTTTTCCATGCGTAATCGGGCGAAACGCAACGCAGATTGACCACCTCTGCCTGAAATCAAGATAATTTAGTAACACGTTAGACACGAGTGGCTCGCATTGATTTCAGAATAAGCAACAGTGACAAAAGAAAATCAGGCTTGTCCTTCTCAAATCTCGCATACGCTTCGTACCATGTTTCTTGGGGAGGTCCACAGTGAATTTATGTAACACTTCACGCGTGTTACCCTGCAACGTTCCAAACAACGCCCCGTTGCCGTCCATTACGATAAAACCAAATTTGTTGTCATCCGCAAGTAATGCCGTGAGTGCTTCCGTGTGAAACTGCAAAATGCAATTGTTAAAACCGTGTTTCATACAAAACTGTTTACATCTGCAAACACAAGACCTTTACCTTATTATCACAAAGATACAAAGACGTATTGATAGGTTTGAAAGGTTCAAAATCGATGTTGACCTTCTTTTCTTTTCCTTCCTCCGTTACGATAGTTCCACAATAAATTACCAGGCCATTTGGAGGCACTGAAATGCATAGTTACGCATAAATAAGTCATCACTAATGTTCATAGAAATCATGTTATCTCAGCGATTCAAATATAATTTTACACTTAAAAGGATCGAACGTTATAGCGCAGAGTATAATAAATTCTCAGTGTTGGTGCTACAATCGTGCTTTAACTAAGCTGTAAGCCTTAAGCCGTAAGGAATTAACCAATCGCGGGTGAGATTGAGAGGGAAAAATGCCTGCGATTGGTTAATTTCTTACAGGTAAGAGTGAGGGGAATAAAATAAAAAAAGAAGTTACCTTTAGTATATAGCTTTAGCCTATGCTGCACCGATGTGATTGCACCCAAAACAGATAATCTATTTACACGTGACTTAATGTTCGACGCTGTGCCGAATTCATCCGCCAGCATCTTGCTCACTCTCGATATTTGGTCCTTTGGTGGTATGATCAACGAAATCATACTCGTGCCATTCCTGCAAAGACAAACAATCGTTCACATCCACCCGATACGCGAGGGACGACTACCGAGGGACCCGTTTACGTAAGGCGAGACCCACATAGAATTGTCGACGGGGATAAAATTGGCCACGACACGAGGGGCGTATCTTAACGTCACTCGCGCCGCGACGAGAGCGATCCTCGCGTGAGATCGGGGGATTCGGAATTGTAGGACGTGGCGAGCGAGCCCGCGCTCCGCCGAGCCATATGTCGAGGAGATCGGCGCGGCGGCGACAGCTGACGACGTCGACGCCGACCTACTTACCCTCTGGCCATCTCGAGGCTCTTTATGAGCTTCTTGATCTTCCAGATCTCGACGTTGCGGTCGGCGGAGGTCTCCTCGTTCGACATCGCTGCGGGCGTGCGTGGGGACGCGTGGTCGCGGCGTTACGGCGCGCTGCTGCCCGAGATGCTGGGAATTAATCACTGCCGCACGCGCGCTCTGGTCCGCCCGGAGGTGGACGTGGACGTGGACGACGGGGATGACGATGGTGACGTCGACGGCGGCGGCGACGGCGACGATGGTGCGAACGAGCAGGCAATGTGGCCCACGTAGACGACGTGGAGCCGGACCCTGCGGCGGGTTCCTCTCTGCGAAAATTAACGGTCGGGAATTATCGACGGTTGCGAAATACCGCACCGATCCAGTTCACACCGGATTATGTCAGCCACGGAGGAACGTGGTCGACATAGCCATTCATTCAGGGGCGGCCGCCCGTTCCGTTCGTCCGTTCTCCTTCTCTCTCTCTCTCTCGCTCGCTCGCTCTTTCCCACTCACTCACTCTTTCTCCTTCTCTCTCACGCTCGGTGTCGCGCGCGCGGGCATTAAACGCTCGGGTTTAAGCACGCGCCGTGTGCGCGGCCACCTTCGCTCGCGGCTGTTATAATCCGCCACTCACTCTCGGGGAATCGTTACGGCGCGGTAGGTGCGTCCGACACGTCGACGTTGGTCGCGGCGGGCAGGCCCCAGGCTTCAGCGGCAACGCGGCTCGTGACACGGCGAGTACCACGCGAGTGCGAGCCTCGGTATGCACACGTCGGCCATGCGATGGCACAGCGGAAACGTCAGTGAACCACGGTGGACGTGCCGCACGCGAGACAAAATGGGAAGCAAAAAGACTCCGAGGCCGCCCAGTCGCGCACACGAGCGCGCACGACCGCAAATCGCGCCCTCGCCATTGGCCAACGGGAGCCACGCGCGGTTTAGGGACGCCCTCGCATGGACAACGGCGGATTGTGAACGCGCACCGAGCTCGGGGTCTGTTCCTTTTAGCTCGACCGGCCTGGGGAGCGATCACGTGCACCGATCGAATTCGAATTCGAGAAGGAATATGCCATCCGATACCACTCTTCGTACATGATCAATCTATGGTCTGGGGGAAACTATCCTATAATAAATAAGCATGAACCATGAGGGTGGC